TGTGAACGTTTCTCTATTTGCTGACGACACAAAATGCTTTTCAACCATCGAGTCCCTAAGCGATGCAAGAAACCTAAACACGGAATTTAAAAATGTGCAGAACTGGGCGCATAGTTGGCGACTGAATTTCAATGCAGAGAAATGCAAAGTCCTTAGTATCACCAGAAAACGCTACTCAATCGTTGCTGATTACGTCATCGATGCTCGAGCTTTGCAGCACGTTCCCAGTCAGAAAAACCTTGGAGTGACAGTTTCTTCTGACCTTACATGGACTATCCACATACACGAGAAGATTACCAAAGCGAACCGTATGCTTGGCATGCTGAAACGTTCGACAGTTCATGTTAGAGATGCAAGCAGTAGACGTAGTTTATATCTGGCATTAGCCCGATCTCACCTGGCCTATGCGTCACAGGTATGGAGCCCACAAACCGTAAGCATGTGTGGTGAATTGGAAAATGTTCAAAGGAGGGCAACTAAATTCATCTTGGCTTTACCTTTTGAAACTGACACTTGCTATAAATCAAGATTGTTGGCCTTAAACTTGTTACCACTGAGGTACTGGCACGAATATATGGACGTTCTCCTTTTATTCAAACTTACACGTGGATTTATTTCATCTGACCTCAATATCCTCCCAGAACAAAACAACAAATTAAGGATGAACCTACGGTCACAAAATACCACCCTCGTGACATATCATATACCAAAAACTAAGACACTCTGCTATCAGAACAGTTATGCTGTTAGAGCTTCACGGATATGGAACACTCTTCCCGATGAATTACGTCTGCCAGAGATTTCATACCATCGATTTAAATCCCTCCTTTCCCAATATTACCTAACTGCCACCAAGACCACCTTCGACAAAGATCACCCCAAGTCATGGAAAACAATATGTCCCAAGTGCCATCTAGCAAGATCATTAAAAACGTTCAAGAACTGTTGTTTCTAGGACTAGCCTTGATGGCTAATGTGGACTTTGAACTGTAATTATATGTAAATAGATAGATGTGTTGTGTACGTTTCGAGTTCGAGTGGATGTATTGTTAGTACTGTCTGTAGAACCAGGGCATCAACGTAATTGGCTGACGCTGTGTTGATGTACCTGCGCCGTTGTCGTTGTATAAATTTTTGGCGGCAAAGTTTATAAATAAATAAATTAATGTCTCTGGGGATGAGAATGAGAACTCCCAAACATTCTAACTTTCCCCAGGGGGGGGGGACGTTTTTCCCCTAGTGAAAATAGAGCCCTTACGATTTAATTAGGACGGCAACGCGACGGCAACGGCTATACCAATACAGTAAATCATTGAAAAGAATTGACATTGTCCTCGCTCTGTTTACAACGCCAAATCACAAATTTTCACGTCTTGATACAACGGCTGTATTTCAAGCCGCAACAAGTGCAACTTCAAACTGGGTTTAGTAGAACTCTTCCCAAACATAAAACCCATGTCTTCAACTTCTAAGTCTCTAAAGACTGTATTAAATTAAGACTGTATTAAATTCACACGATTGATAATATATCACGAATTATCTTTACTATACCATTTATTTGAAGGAGTTTGTTTTGGCCGTCGTCGTCGCGTTGCCGTCCTAAATCGTAAGGTCTCTAATATGAGTACATTCAAATAGCAGGTGTTTTTTTTTAAAGTGGGGTGTTCCATGAAACTGTGTATTATTAACTTGGTATTGACAGTTCACTTTTCACACATTGGGAAATGCGAAAAACTTTTGTCTTCTTTAGAATCAGAGCACACCTGAACAGCTTGAAAAATGGATGCCGTTAATCAAGAAGTATAAAATTATCGGGACTTATGCACAGACTGAAATGGGGCATGGTAAGTTTGAGTGCATCCTCGTTCCCAGGGCCTCTAGGCCACGCGCGACCTTTATAGGCCATGGGTCACACGAAACCTTAAGTGCAAGAAATCTTGCAGTAGTTTCAAAAGCGCATACTAGCGAGCTTAAAGCCGGTTTTTCACTAGCGAATTTTTTCGCGCGAAGCGACCTTTTTCCTTTGTCGGTATACTTATTACGTCAGCAAGACGTTGCAAAATGGATGCCAACAAAGGAAAAAGGTCGCTTCGCGCGAAAAAATTCGCTTGTGGAAAACCGGCTTAAGATGCACCAAATCTGCGACACGGACGCGACTAAAAACAGTCGCTATAATAATTGGAGACTAGTTTTACTTTGTTTTTCTCGTGTCCCTGGCTTTGTTTACAAACAACTATCCATAGTTTTGACCAGTGAGGCGAAACTGTGATAATAGCGGCAGTTTTTCGTCACGTCAGCGTCGTAGATTTGGTGCATCTTATTTGGAATTTGGTAATTCCGCAGTAATTGTTCCCGAAATGAGAATGTGCTGAAACTTCCCAGGCATGGAGTTTATGATATACTTAAACTAAAATCACACAAAAATCGGGGTCATCGAACTCGTTAAGAAGATATGACAATCACAATATACCACCTTTACCCCCAATATGGCGCCATCTTGACGCTCATTACGAGTAACAGCAAAATCACAACAGCCCGATATTTGTTGATGTTTTTAGCGCGGATTTTGCTTTAGTAAACCTATCTTGTAATTATTTTTGAAAAAATTTTGTGTTTTGAGCAAAATGAAACTACTAACGTGTACAATTCTGATCCATGCAAATGTCTTTTCCACATTTCTTTACATATCTTTCTTTGAGAACATGCATTGATAAAGCATTTTTTTTTTCAAGATCCAGAAATGATTTTTCTTTTAATTTCGGATATGAAATGTAAAATGCATTAAAGAAATAAATTATCAGTTAAAAAACGGGGGTCACCGATCTTTTTAGGGAATTGTGGCATTAAAACGTGAAATACAAGTAAATAAATATACTACAGACGCAGGGAACCCTAGCTACACTTTTGTATGTCTTTTTTAAAAACATTGATTTTAACGTAATTCTTTGCACGAATGTAACCAAAGATGTTTTGAAGTAATATAAAATTGTCATAAAAAGATTTTTTTTAAACGGTACGTATAATGGATGAAATTATAAGTTATAAGATGTGCGCAGTAAAAGTGCGCAATGCAAAACTGCGGAATTACCTTAAGCTCGCTATTCTTGAATTGGGACCCTTTGGCACCCGTAACAATTTTCACAGAAAAGTACTACGAAGAAACCAAGTATCTGTGTTGACATATTTTGATAGAGTAAGTTCCCCTGGCGAAAACTGCTCAACTTCTGGGAAATAGCAGTTCTCTAAGAAGCCAATCAGATCTTTCCCTTTAGTCGTCTAACCTAGAGGTTAGTTTTCAACGAGTGTCCAAGTGAAAATGGCTCTTGGGACGAGAATGTTTTGAGTGAGAAAACTCCAGATCTGGAGGCAACCTCGTACCCAGGGCCTCTGTTCTTAATTGGCAGTTATTTATTTCAACCAGGAACATTTGTGCGAGGGTTGGAAACCACAGCTACATACAATCCCGAAACGGAGACATTTGTCATGCATAGTCCAACGTTGACGGCAACGAAATGGTGGCCAGGAGGGCGTAAGTTGTCCACTTTTATTTATTTATTTTATTTTTAATTGTTTCACTGCTTTAATTTGGCAACAAGAATATGGAAAATATTAACTATACAGTAGAAGGTGCCGAAACACAAACGAGACTAGGGCCCATGCATGGTGCGCTCACTATTTGATGTGTTAGAATAGAAGAGCAAGAAAAATATGGAATAGAAAAATGGAAGAGAGAAGCAGTAGCGTAACGCAACTTCCTGAGGCCCCCGTCAAATTTTCAAGTGGGGCCATATTTTTCCCCAAGTGTGTTCCAAAATTTGGAACTATATTCATTAAAAAGAAAGGGTTCAAAAACATTTTCCAGACTATGACAAGTAAAAAAAGTCACAAAACTTTTTCCCCATCCAAGTCTACTAAAAAAGGGGTCAAAAACTAAAAATTCCTGGTTTTGGGGGCCACCCGTTGCAAATTTTCTGGTCCTCTATAACTGAGGCTCACGCCAATTTGCCCAATGCACTAGCAAACATTTTATTATCATTTTTGTCTGTTTTCCGGCCAGTACGACTGCTTTACAGTTCAAATATCCGAATTAATCCTGCTTCGATTGCGTTGGTTTACAACTCGGGGGACAGGTGCAACGCGAAATTTCTGACTTGCGAAATATCAGTGACTATTATAGAACTACCCATGCGCAGACGATGCGCATAAATGACTTTGGCTCATAAATTTCGCAACTCAACCTCTTAACAGACAACACGTGTATTTAAAAAGCTAAATTTTCGGATTCTACAACTTGATCAACTGAATTGACATTATACCACTGGTTGTGAACGTTAGCGTTCAGCGATAATAAAGCTTGAATCTAAAATCTGCGAATGGAAAAAGTCAATCGAAAAGCGCGTGTAGTGCTACAAAATAGACTCCAGTTTCAAAGGTGATGCTATATGCATTATTATAAGCACCAAAAATCGTTTCGCGTTTGACCTTCTCACTATTTAGCAAGCAGCAACAATGAGTTCGTGTATTGGCCGTTTAGATTTAGCGAATCGGATGTTTATATTAGAAACACTTAACGATACTATTGGTAACATCGTATATGGACTTAAAAATCGTTTCGACCGACTCGGCCGTATTTAGCAAATGTCGTGTATTTCGCGCCATGACAACACGCGCTCACGCTTGGTCATGTGTTTCGCAGAGGTCAGAACTTCGCTTGACACCGGATAATTAACAGTTATTCTACGAACTCGAGTCGAATATGAGCGATAGCCGATGAGGCGCGTAATATCCTGTTAGTAGAGAACCAATCAGATTGCAGAATACCTCATATCCAGACCTTGTGTATATAATAATGGTAGATATTTTCGGCTAAATTTTGTCCCCAAGTTATATAATGTGATGTGATGCAGCGTATCAAAGCATGACGCTTGGGATTGTATTACAACTTTTTCTGTCATAAGATAGATCACAGACATAATGACTTTGCAATTGCAATTTGCCAGTTTGCAATAGCCAATAATTCATGAGTAGATTAGCCAACCATATTGCTTTATTTTGCTGACATGATAATACTGGATACCTGGTGAAGTATCCAGTCCTAGGGCTGGATCAAAATTAATTCACTTCAATTTAAGCATTCGCATCGGACTGGATCAAATTCCGCGGACTTGAAATCTAGTCCAGTCCTCATAGATGGATTTGAAATAGGCAAAATCAAACTCCTGAAACCGTCATGGCTATTTTTATTTAAGGCTATTTGAGTACCAAAAATTAAATAATATTATGTGTTTCTTCTATTTAGTTGCACACACTTCAACGCACGCTATAATAATGGCTAGATTAATAACTGGAGGAAAAGATTATGGGATCCACGCCTTTCTTGTTCAAATCCGTAGTCTTGAAGATCATAGCGTTCTGCCAGGTAAATCATGTTTTCTTACAGGTAAACTACGACAAGCATTCCATTCCATTGCAATTTTGAAAATTTTGATTTTGCAAATTTGATAAACGCCCTTGCAAATCCCTTGAGGAAATTTGCAATATGTTCCTATCGGCCGTTGCCGTATTCCAAAGCAGAGAAACTTTCCTTCAAACTTCTTGTTCGTTCCAAAAAGTGAAGCCACCTTCCATAGGTGTATGACGGGCAATTATAACGTTTTATCTTGCTTGCCCGATTGGGCAAGTTGCCTTGCCACAAAAAGCTGGGCATCTTTAAGTTTATGTTTTCATTATCCGATATACATTTTTTATAGTGCATGTACTTGATTCAAATTTTGTTTTTCGTGGGCCAAAGCTAGATCTGATGCAGTATAATATGGCCATATAGAGCACTGGGAGAACGGGTCGACATGTTGTCCTCTTAATTTATACCCCCTACCTAGGTACCCCAGTGGCCATTGTCTGACGGCAAGTGGTCAAAAAAGTAAAGTTGCACCACTGAACGTGTTAACAAGCTTGCTACAAACCTATTGCAAACACATCTTGTTGACAAGTTGTTGGAACAGCATTCTCACAACTTGTTAACAAGCTTGCTACAAACGTGTTGAGGAGACATCTTGTTCACAAGTTGTTGGAACAGCATTGTCACAACTTGTTAACAAGCTTGCTACAAACCTATTGCGAACACATCTTATTGACAAGTTGTTGGAACAGCATTGTCACAACTTGCTAACGGGCTTGCTACAAGCCTGTTGAGGAGTCATCTTTTTGATAAGTTGTTGGAACATCATTGTCAGAACTTGTTAACAAGCTTGCTACAAACCTAATGCAAACACATCTTGTTGACAAGTTGTTGGAACAGCATTGTCACAACTTGTTAACAAGCTTGCTACAAACCTGATGCGAAAGCTCTTTGGACAAGTTGTTGGAACAGCATTGTCACAACTTGTTAACAAGCTTGCTACGAACCTTTTGAGGAGACATCTTGTTGACAAGTTGTTGGAACAGCATTGTCCAACTTGTTAACAGGCTTGCTACAAGCCTTTTGAGGAGACATCTTTTTGACAAGTTGTTGAAACAGCATTGTCACAACTTAACAAACTTGCTACAAGCCTATTTCGAACACATCTTGTTGATAAGTTGTTGGAACAGCATTGTCACAACTTGTTAACAAGTTTGATACAAACCTATTGCAAACACATCTGTTGTCAAGTTGTTGGAACATCATTGTCACAACTTGTTAACAAGTTTCATACAAACCTATTGCAAACAAATCTTGTTGTCAAGTTGTTGGAACATCATTGTCACAACTTGTTAACATGCTTGCTACAAGCCTGTTGGCGTTCATAAATGGCACGCAATACGCACTAATTTCGTCGCAGCAGCATAATTATTGCGCTAAAACGCAACGTGTATTAAACATTTGTTTATTGAAATGTTACTAATTTTAATAACTTTTCCAAAAGTGTTATTTAATTCTTAAGGAATAAAGGTGGGCTCTATCGGTCCCAAAATGAGTTATGATGTTGTAGACAACGGTTTCTTGAACTTCAACAAAGTGCACATACCAAGACAAAATATGCTGATGAAATACAGTCAGGTTGGTATACACACCAGCATCCGTTAGAGAGTTTGAGCAAGACAACGAAGTACGAAGACGAAGGCATACTTGACAATTTTTGCCGCCTGCACATTATCTTGCGCATAGTGAGTTGGACGTCACTGGTAGTTGCTCAACGTGTCTTCCCATGTGTCGCTGTTTATGAATACTGACCATAATTCTTGCCATAATATTCGTTGTGAACGAAGGCAGAAGAACGAAGACGAGATATGGATTCATGTCTCGCTGTTTTATCCTGATCAGGGTAAGGATTTGAGTCAGCATTCACAAACAGCTAGACATGAATCGCTAATCTGTCTTCACTCCTGACCCTAAACTCAGAATGCGCAAGATAATGTGCAAGACAGGCAAAAATTGTCAACACGTCGTGGTCGTCCGACTTCGTTCTCTTGCTCAAACTCTCTATTAAGGGGGCAGTACGAACAGGACGAACTTTCTTTATTTATACTGACAGTCCTGTTCTTTCAATGTGTGATAGCCCTGGTCGTGTAACTGCGAGCTCAACCTACATATGCATAACTGAACACCCGTTCCGCACATTGTAACCAATAATCTATTGGCGTTGTAAAGCCATTGCATACAATAAAGTATTGCGTTGTAACTGAAGACAAAACCACAAGCATTGGACAAAAGTTTTAGTTATAAATGTAATGACCCTAAAAGGGAGCCAACCATCAGCCAGGGAGGTTGGTGAGCGTTGGTTGGACAAAGGTCATGAACCTTAGGGGTTAGAGGTTGGTGTTGGGGTTGGGGTTAGGATTAGGGTTAGAGTTATTGTAACCGTAAGCGCAAGCCCATTACAACTCAATACTTTATTGCATACGATGGCTTTACAACGCCAATAGATAGTGAAAATATTGATTACAACGTGCGGAACGGCTGAACTGAATTATCTGCTAGTGCTAGGAGATTCTAACCGTGTTATGAGAAATTTGTTATGAGTGGATTGAGAAGGACTCGACTACCTAAAAAATGATGGCCCTTCGTGTACGTATATGCATTCTATTAACTGTGATTTAATATGCGGTTTATAGTTGAAAACATTTCTGCTACACACGCAAAAATCGCTTGAAAAGCGCAGTATATGCTAATTATTATTATTATTTTAGGTATCGCGAGTTGGTGAGTACAGTAGGTTAAAAAGAGACAGTGAAAAACTGACATATATTTCTATGGTAGCGACCAGAGCATTTATTGCATTCAATACAGCAAGGGAATTGAGTAAAGCATGTACCATTGCTATACGATACAGTGCAGTACGGAGGCAGAGCAAGCTGGATGAAAGGTATGTCAATGCATGTATTGATATATGCAGTCTCCAATACCGGGGACCTTTAGCTAGCAAGGTGGCGACGGCTATAATTAGTTCCACCTGAGAAATCACAAGACAAAGAAAAATTCCGCTCCGCGCGTAAAATTCCGCCTTGTGGAAAACCGGCTTTAGAACGAAACTTCGGGCTGCGAGCAGGCTGCCAGGCTAACTAGGCTAACTTAATGTCTGCTCAGGGAAATAGTTATAGTTTTGTTCTCCCAAGTGTCTCACTGTTTCCCGAGATCATTGAAGGTAACATTCTGCTAACATTCACGCGAAAATCTACAAGAAATCTTCAGTTCTTGAGGTGTTGTTCCCATGTTTTGTTCCGCCATATTTTTTCATTATTCTAAGCGTGAGATACTATAATAGATTGATTTCGAAAACACGACGCGAACTAAAAGACGCGCCTTCGAAAAAATTCTTCAATCTTCATGCAAAACAAAACGTTTGAATGATTTGTGGTCCCATTTATCGGTTTTCATGAAAGCATTAGACTAGTTCTACAAATTTGAACGAAAAATGTCGAAAACTCGCAGAGTTATATAATAAAATACATTTCGCTGCAATAAAAAAAACATTGAAAATGTAATATTCAAATTCAATTTTCTCCCAAAGAATTTTTCGGCGGCAATTACTGATTTTCAAACGAATTGTTCTCCTGCGGGTTTTAACGAATTTTTCTCAAATTTTCACAGCACATAGCTAAAGACATCAGTTTCAAAATTCGGCTTTTTTCTAATTTTGGATATTTTAATAATAAGGAGTAATTCACTCAGACGATTCAGAGATATATTGCAGTCTTCAAAGAAATCGCCATTTCAGTGGAATGACGAAATAAACAAAAATTTCCGAACACAATTTTTTACTAATTTTAGAACGACTATTTTACTGTATAAAAATGATATTTTCATAAATATATCTTAAAACAGCAGGAACACAACTTAAAAGGGTAACGGTACCGCGATTTAAGATTTTCCTGAATAATTCTTACATTGTTTTATTGTTTGTCAATTTCACAACTTTACCATATTTTGCATGCACTGGCTAACATTTGGTGAAAATTTGATGAAAATCGAAATGATATTGAGCGCGCAGTAGCGATTTTCAGCAAAACGCCAAAAAGGGTGTCCTATAACCTTAAACTAAGATTTCACGTCATTGGAGCAACGTCAATGCTTGTTGTGGCGTTGGAGGAGTTACATAAAGTCTGTCGCATAGCTGACACCGGATCATGTTCCCCGAACTTAGCCGTTTGCATGTAAGGGACCGGTCATTAATAATAATTTTTAGAGCCGCTCCCGAGCGCAAGATCTTTATTTTCAAGATGCCCCACCTTCATTTAGAAAATTTAGGAATCTCCCCCCTCACTCCAACATTTAATTCGTTACATTTTTTGGTGTAAAATAGGTAATCGGACAAGTACTGGTGTAAGGGTAATGGGACAAGTACTTGTTATTTACTCCGACTCCTATGGTGAACTGCATATACGTAATAAACTATGGAAACTACGATTATAGGAACTAAAGAAAGTGAAATATTTTGTGGAATATGATAAAGGCGAGAGATTGAAAATGAGTAGTAAAGTATTAAAAAATTGGGGTTGCCCTTTGTCACATATTTTTCAGTTTGAAGCCACCCCCAATTCAGGCAAAAATAATTAATTGAAGCCGCCCCCCCTTTTCTCACCCACCGCCCCCGCAGGCCGCTCACATTATTAATGACCGGTCCCTAAGGTTATTATTTTAAAAAGCAATTTGTTACAGTACCCAAGTTCCGTGGCTCTCAACCTTGAGCATAAATTGAGATCTCGTGGTTGTGTTTGCCTCGCGGCGTCTTTTCTACATCTGTCTATTATAGCACCTGTTATGCCGACTCGTCTTCATATACCAGACGACTTTAACGTCTGGGACGGTATTATATAAGAGCGCCCTCCACACGTTTTTATCTGAAGACTTATTATCGTCTGACGAAAATGTCGTTTGTCTAATTAACCATATTAGGTCGAATTTGAACTGTGTCTTTTAGCAAATCTGAATTACAAGTTCTGGATTACAAGACTCAACAGTACGCTCTCCTGCCAGTGCTCGCAACTTCGTATGCCTTCTGGTTCACTGCATTTGAAATCACAAAACTGTATTTTCGAGTTCAAATGGAAATCAACGATGGAAATCTAAGCAATGCACAAGAGGTTGGTGCTGGCAATGTTTACACTATAATAGTTTTGTTTTGTTTGTGGAAACACCACGTAAATATATTACTGCAAAGCTTTCGATCCGTAAGCCCGCATCTTCATCAGTGCTAATAATATGATATTGCTCATATTTTATTAGCACTGATGAAGATCCGGGCTTACGGATCGAAAGCTTTGCAGTAGTAAATTTACGTGGTGTTTCCACAAACAAAACTATTATATGTTTTATCGCCATGCAAACATACAAAGAACGTAATGTTTACACTGTTTTTCCCAACATTGTCTTTTACCTATACCTGTATCCCTACATACTAATCACGTACCTACCTACCTATTACATACTCACCTACCTACCTATTTACCTAGCCACCTACCTGCCTACCTACCTATCTACATACCTATCTACCTACCTATCTACCTACCTATCTACCTACGTATCTACCTACCTATCTACCTACGTACCTATCTACCTACCTACCTACCTGTTATCCACCTACCTACATATCTATCTATCTACCTACATACCTACCTACACCTACCTACACCTACCTACACCTACCTACCTAAATTAGATATCTCTGATATCTCTACCTACCTGTCTAATACTCTTTGATAGTACAGGTAAACTACGTGAAGCGTTTCTCTTTTACGTTCCTAACTTGATTGCAATTTTCCTCATTACCTTAGCAAATTTAAAAAACTCTCTTGCAAATCCCTTGAGGGAATTTTCAATGTTCTTAAGAACCAAATAAATTTTCTTCAGTTCCTGTTAGAAGTTCTTAACTTCCTGTTACAAGTTCCTAACTTCCTGTTCTGTTCTGCGCGTTGTAATTGGCTAACAAAAATAATCCACCAATGATAACGCTCAGAACAGAACAGAACATAACAGAACAGAACAGAACAGAACAGGAAGTCAGGAAATTAAAACAGGAAGTTAGGGAAATTTGAAAGGAACTTTCTTTGCGTTGGAATATTGCAACGGCCGACAGGAAAATTGAAAATTCCCTCAAGGATTTGCAAAACGTTTTTCAAATTTGCAAAGCTAATTATGAAAATTCCAAATGAGTTAGGAACTCAAAAGATAGATAGATAGATAGATAGATAGATAGTTTAATAGATTTTACATGGCAGCCGAATTGGCTGAATTGCGTAAAATTAACAAAACTTACATATTACAAGCAAATTAAAAACAACACATACACAATTACATATTACTGAATGTAATAGTATTACATATTATATGACATCAGCGCAAATTCAGATATGTCCCCACCACCACCACCGCTAAAATAGAGAAAAACCAAAGTTGTAAGCAGAACTAGAAAGACCCTACCCTGGATTCCAGAGCCTTCGAAGTAAATATAAATAAATTGAAATGTCGCGAAGGCTCTGGTTCAACGGGGCGATTCTTTGATTAAACCGCGCCAATCACAAAACAGAATTAGTGGTTTTAGTACAGATTCTGTACTAAAACCACTAATTCTGTTTTGTGATTGGCGCGGTTTAATCAAAGAATCGCTCCGTTGAACCAGAGCCTTCGCGACATTTCAATTTATTATTTACTTCGAAGGCTCTGGAATCCAGGGTAGAAAGACCCAAAAACATGTATAAAAGCAAATGGTAGACGCGAGGCAGCGGCAATGGTGGTGGAAGTCATATCAGAACCCCACCAATATCCTATTAAACTACTCCGTTGACATAGAAACGACAAAAGTGTTCCTAAAACGATTTGTTCGCGTGGTCGGACAGTCAAAAGGTCGCTGTCTTCTCAGATTATATGCTGAGATATTCTTGGGTGGCAGAAGATGGTGAAGTTTGTGCTCGGTATCAGATATAACTGATTGAAATAGTTTCTTACACAGTTTTAGCCGCCTGTCTCTCAAGGAACTGATATTCAATTTCCTAAGATTGTCCGTATATGATAACCCCGGGGATATTATGGAAGAAGAACGCTTCACGCAGTTTACCTGTAATGCTTATTGTTTTCGCTGTTTAATTAAATTCTCTTTTCTACACAGTTACACGCAACAAGTGCAGGTATCAAGGCGTTTACAACTCAAAATGCTGCAACAGGAGTTGAGGTAACTACTATAAGTAATAAGTAATAGTCTCAGCATAAGAGTTCATTAGAGTTGGCAAGAGTTCATAGGAGTTCATTAGAGTTGGCAAGAGTTCATAGGAGTTCATTAGAGTTCATTAGAGTTGGCAAGAGTTCACAAGAGTTCATTAGAGTTCATAAGAGTTCATAAGAGTTCATTAGAGTTGACAAGAGTTCATAAGAGTTCATTAGAGTTCATAAGAGTTCATTAGAGTTGGCAAGAGTTCATAGGAGTTCATTAGAGTTGGCAAGAGTTCATAGGAGTTCATTAGAGTTCATAAGAGTTCATTAGGGTTGGCAAGAGTTCATAAGAGTTCATTAGAGTTGGCTAGAGTTCATAAGAGTTCATTAGAGTTCATAAGAGTTCATTAGAGTTGGCAAGAGTTCATTAGAGTTGGCAAGAGTTCATTAGAGTTCATAAGAGTTCATTAGAGTTGGCAAGAGTTCATTAGAGTTCATAAGAGTTCATTAGAGTTCATAAGAGTTCATTAGAGTTGGCAAGAGTTCATTAGAGTTCATAAGAGTTCATTAGAGTTGGCAAGAGTTCATTAGAGTTGGCTAGAGTTCATAAGAGTTCATTAGAGTTCATAAGAGTTCATTAGAGTTGGCAAGAGTTCATAAGAGTTCATTGGAGTTCATAAGAGTTCATTAGAGTTCATTAGAGTTCATAAGAGTTCATTAGAGTTGACAAGAGTTCATTAGAGTTCATTAGAGTTCATAAGAGTTCATTAGAGTTGGCAAGAGTTCATAAGAGTTCATAAGAGTTCATTAGAGTTGACAAGAGTTCATTAGAGTTCATTAGAGTTGGCAAGAGTTCATAAGAGTTCATTAGAGTTGACAAGAGTTCATAAGAGTTCATTAGAGTTGGCAAGAGTTCATTAGAGTTCATAAGAGTTCATTAGAGTTGACAAGAATTCATTAGAGTTCATAAGAGTTCATTAGAGTTGGCAAGAGTTCATAAGAGTTCATAAGAGTTCATTAGAGTTGGCAAGAGTTCATAAGAGTTCATTAGAGTTCATAAGAGTTCATTAGAGTTGGCAAGAGTTCATAAGAGTTCATCAGAGTTCGTAAGAGTTCATTAGAGTTTATAAGAGTTCATTAGAGTTGACAAGAGTTCATTAGAGTTCATTAGAGTTCATAAGAGTTCATTAGAGTTGGCAAGAGTTCATAAGAGTTCATTGGAGTTCATAAGAGTTCATTAGAGTTGACAAGAGTTCATAAGAGTTCATTAGAGTTCGTAAGAGTTCATTAGAGTTGACAAGAGTTCATTAGAGTTCATTAGAGTTCATAAGAGTTCATTAGAGTTGGCAAGAGTTCATAAGAGTTCATAAGAGTTCATTAGAGTTGGCAAGAGTTCATAAGAGTTCATTAGAGTTCATAAGAGTTCATTAGAGTTGGCAAGAGTTCATAAGAGTTCATCAGAGTTCGTAAGAGTTCATTAGAGTTTATAAGAGTTCATTAGAGTTCATAAGAGTTCATTAGAGTTCATAAGAGTTCATTAGAGTTGGCAAGCGAGGGTTTGCATAAGAACAAAAATTGAATGAGAATTGAATTGCAACACGTTGCCAAAACTCTGATCAAAATTTTTAGCCAGTTCAAAGTTGATGAGAGTTGACAGCCAAACACGAGAAAGGGTTGCAAGTCTCATCAACTCTCATCCTTCTTTCATCAGATCTTAACTTCCAGACGAACGACCAAAAAAGGTTCGTAGCGGTCTTTGAAATCCTTGAAAGTCTTTAAATTTGAATGCAGGTCTTTAAGGTCTTTGAAAAGTTTTTGAATTGTGTGAAAAAGCGAAGAAAGTCTTTAAATTCTTTAGTGAGTATTTGATTATACGATTTCCTAGCTAATAAAATAGATTGATTGAAGCAAGATTTTCGAAAATATGGACGAAAAAGTGCATTTTAGGATGTGATTTGACGGGACTAATTACCTGGTAAAAATGGTGCAAATACATCGCAGTTTTTCGACAGCTGATTGCTCTCAAAGGTCTTTGAAAAGTCTTTGACAATAGGCAGAAAAATCTTTGAAAGTCTTTGAATTTTTTGGTCTTGAAGTCTACGAACCCTGCTTTGTTCGAAACACGGCGGACAGCTAATGCTATATTGTACAAATAATGAATGTTTATGAGTGACAGCCGAGTTGAATGGAACATTCCATCTTTCACCGAATGAAAATATTCTTCCCATTGCACGAATAAAAACATTCATTATTTTTTTTATACAATACCAAAATAGACCAATATTGCTTTTTCAAGAACAGTTTATTTAAAACACCATTTAATATTAAAATAATTACACACAAACATAACAGAAACTGAATGTTTCAAATCATTCAAAACACAAAGAGTGCAATGGAATAAAACGTAGAGTACAATTGCACTCGCAAAGAGTGCAATGGAACGTATTCCATTGCACTCTTGCATGGGAAATGAAATTTAACAGCCAATTAAACCATCAGAATTCAGTGAGGTATTGTATATATTTTTTTATTTATTGGCAGACATGTCGATTTCGTTGTGGCGGTCATGGTTTCTCAATGTCCAGCGGTCTTCCAACAATCTATGGAGACCACGTAGCACCCTCTTGTACGTATGAAGGAGATAACATTGTGATGTTGTTACAAACTGCAAGGTATAGAGTTTATTTCAGAACATTTCATTAGGGTTGTTGGTCCAGGGTGGTCCGTAGGCGCCCAAATCCCCCCCCCCCCTTCCCCAATATTTTGCGAATTGTAAGCCACTGTTTTCACTTCAACGTAAAATCTTTCTTCCCTAATTTCTAGATATTTGGTAAAATGTTGTTCGAGATTAGCATCCGGGCAACCTGTAACAACGCCAACCGCTGCCTATCTTACTGCTGTTGCCAAGGAAACCGCGTGTGTAGCAAGCTCGCCCCAGGACTTTAGGAATCCAGAAATATTAGTCCGGGCGTACAAGCACCGCGCAGCAAGGTATATACACTGAGCTCCATTTAGATTTACCTCTGAAGCAGAGCCTTTTAACTATCTAACTGGGAGGGCCAAAGCCCTTCCCCCAGCAAACCATCCCCCCCCCCAGTGAAGGTCCCTTTTTTCTAAAATGTAAGCAAAATTTTTGGAAGGGAGGTTTGATGTTCTATAGTGACTGAACCTTGCCTTGTGAATTGTAATGTTATTTCTTCTACCTTCAAATTATTGATTTTTTTTTTAAATGTTAAACATTGTGTTGTAAATACCTTATATTTTAAAATTCTTTAATGGATATCCAAATACTTAACTGAATATTCAATCTATGGAAAAGTTTTTCGCCTGCATGATGTAATTGTTAATAATTTCTAACAAGCTTTCGTTGGTATACCGTATAATGTAACGCTGTATATCCAAAAATGTGTTTCAGAAAATGCGCGAAATGCAGTCCCAGGGGGTGGAAAATATTTTGGGGGAGAATGTCCCCAGACCTCCTTCTATTACAAACGACACTACACCAACGTTTTTAATAAGTGTGAAGACTGCAGACTGGCAGTCGAAAGCTCGTAGTAATGAATTTTTAAAAAACAGAGAACGTCTAAAAACTTATTATGAATAATCTTGGTTTCGCTTCAAACATATTTAGACCAACGTTTTTGTCACCAACATCAATCTGTCATCTACCCTAACCGTTTCTGTGGATCCCCCCTTACTGACAAATTCTTAAAAAACGCCCTGTTAGTAATTAGCCATTCCGAAGTTGATGAGAGGACTGGGGAAGAGTGTTAAAAAGTGCCCAAATTAAGAAATGAACTAAATCACTAAAACGACCACCTTAAAATTAGTAAGTATACAAAGTTTGAAGACGTTTACATGAATGCCCTTCGAATAATAAGCTTTCGAAAATTATTAAATTACTGATTTAAAGATTGTTTTTGGGACGCGCGTCCCAAAAACGAAAATTACAGTACATTTCATAATAAATATCGAATTTTCGAAAGCTTATTATTCGAAGGATATTCATGTACACGTCTTCAAACTTTGTATACTTACTAATTTTGAGGTGGACTTTTTAGTGATTTGGTTCTTTCTTAATTTGGGCACTTTTTAACACTCGTCCCCAGTCCACTCATCAACTTCGGAATGGCTAATAGCTGTATCATACCATACCACATCGTATACCGTAGCAAGTGAAACCATGTACTTTGTCATAGCATACCATACCTCTCCGTTATTAATCTAGGTTAGTCTTGGCAGTTTCCAGGAAGTTACAGCAAAATACCTCTAAAGGTGTAAGCCCTGGGGATGCTCGGAATATTTGTTCCGTTGAATTGGTGCGGGCTGCACAGGTACAGTGTTTAAGTAGATTTAATGTAAAATCAGGAATGGATTTACTTGGGGGGGGGGGTGTGCTATTTTTCATGATAAAGCAAAACATTATTAGAGATAAAATGAGATACATTAATTTGAGTAATAACATGATGATAAGCGAACTGTGAACAACAATTACAATTCAAATACAGTAGTCAAGCGAGACTTTGCAGTAGTGAAGCAAGTTGATGGGCGGGCGGCACACATGACCGACATAACTCGGCACCAGAGCACCCCCTTTACCAGATCATGCTGGATCCATCCCTGTGTAAAATTCCATTTACACAATGGCTGTTTGCCTGTTCAAGGTGGCGCAATTGTGCGAGCAAGAGCCTTTCACTTTTGAGTTCGTGGGTTGGATTCTCGCTACGGACTCATGTGAAAAGAGTGAGTCAACGCTCTGCCGAAAGTCGTGGGTTTTCTCCGGGTGCCCCGGTTTCCTCCCACAGGGAAAGTTGACAGGATGGGTTAGGATAAACACAGTTAAGAAAGTAATATCACAGTTGTCGTAAAGATAAAATAGTAGGTAAATATATGTAATTGGGTAAGCATGTAATACCTGATGTAAAGCGCATCTGCAAATCTATAAAGCGCATCTGTAAATTTGCGTAAACATAAATGCTAATTGTAGTATATATTGCACATAAATGCTAATTGTAGTATAATATACACTTAATGTCTGCTCCCGAGGGAAATAGTTAGTTTTGTTTTCCCGAGAATGTCAATGTTTCCCGAGACGAAGTCGAGGGAAACATTAAGATTCGAGGGAAAACTTCAACTTCAACAACAACTTCAACAACATTCATACAACAATTGTATTTCGTGTCAAAAACTCTATAGTGTAAACGAGTTTAAAATTAAAAGAACCTACTTAAACGGTTTCAGCAGCATATCCTGTTGCCTGTTGTGTATTTTTCTTCTCTTTTATATTCTTTATTTGAACACAAACTTGGAAAATCGTAGTTTCTAATTATCTGAGTTGTGCCTCCATTTTGTTTATTTATGTACGTGGCCGGTCGGGCGGGCAACAATTTTTCACTTGTTGCCCGGCGGGAAACATTGCATTTATCTGAAGTCACGTGACCACAAATCAGCCAATCACGTTTGGTGTTCACGCCAGCTATATAACAATTGGGGTTATATATGTGAGTGAACGGAATGGAGAAGTATATTAGTGTCCCTACTCGTGTATCACAAGGGGAATGAATATAACTGAAACGCTACCTTCAGACAAACTGCCTAGATCCGCGTGTTTATGCCTCGCGATTCTCTCGCGTAAACAATTGTTAAAAGTAAAGTCCAACCGCAAGCAACATTTAACCATTTTTGCATCAATTTCTTATCAGGCTCATTGTCATCAATTCGTGGTGGAACAGTTTGCCAATGTTATCCAGAACGAGAGCTTTAGTGCGACACTTCGTCCTGTGATGGAAGCAATGTTCAGACTGTACTGTGTTCACGGTATTGTGGAACAGGCCAAGGATTTCTTGGAGGTGAAGTTTTATTTAAATGAAATATTGTAGTTAATCCATATTAACTTAACTTAGTAGCTTCGGTGGCCAAGTGGTTAGCGCACTTGCCTTTTACCTCTGAGGCCGCAGGTTCAAGCCTCAGTGAGAACTTTCTCAATGCGACTCGAACCCAGTCCTCATGTGAAAAGAGTAAAAGTCAGCCTAGTCCCTAGGCCTGTTAGTACGCCTATTTCGCGTTTCTGCATATTAATGAGGTGACAGCTCGCTCTGCCGAAAGTCGTGGGTTTTCCCCGGGTACTCCGGTTTCCTCCCACAGGGAAAGTTGACAGGGTGGGTTAGGTAAAAGGGCCCACAGTAATTGACACTTGCTGCTGTGGTGACCCTGCCCTAGTTGGCAAAGCTAAATAAAATAAATTAAATATTACAGGTAAACTACGTGAAGCGTTCCTCTTTTGAGTTTCTAAATTTATTGCAATTTTCCTCATTACTTTTGCAATTTAAAAAACTCCCTTGCAAATTCCTTGAGGGAATTTGCAATGTTGCTAAAAGCCAAAAAATTTTCCTCAGTTCCTGTTAGAAATTCTTAACTTCCTGTTACAAGTTCCTAACTTCCTGTTCTGTTCTGCGTGTTGCAATTGGCTAACAAAAATAATCGACCAATAACAACGCTCAGAACAGAACAGGAAGTTAGGTAATTAAAACAGGAAGTTAGGAAAATTTAAAATGAAGTTTGGAATATTGCAACAGCCGATAGGAACATTGCAAATTCCCTCAAGGGATTTGCAAAGAGTTTTTCAAATTTGCAAAGCTAATGAGGAAAATTCCAAATGAGTTACGAAGTCAAACGAAGAACGCTTCACGTAGTTTAGCTGTAAATAATCCGTCCGATTAAAATGACCAGCTTGCCACAAACCGTGGCTATAAGGTCTGCCCAAAACAGGCGTACTTTAAATTAAATTACCAGCTTCAATCAAAGTTCATCATGATATTAGGTTGTGTATTAAAAGGCTTTGTAAACTCGGGGAATACATGCTCCGTTAACTGCGTATTGGCGTCTATTTTCTCGACAAAGAGTTGTGTTGAAGGCCTGGATCAATTGCTGCACAATAGGAAACGATGCACGGCGAACAAAGCGAGGGGTAAATTACTCTGAAAAAAGCGTACGAAGATTTTTGGGATTAGAAAATCTGGGATTTTTTCCCCAAATTTAAGGGATTTTGGGGGTTTTTTCAGCTGATTTTTTCGAAATATTTTCCCTTATTTTTTTTTCGCCGAACCTTTTCCGACATTTTTTGAGACATATAATCCGTCGAAATATTTTTAAAATGAAGTAAATCAACGAAGGGTATTTTCACACCAATTCATGATTTAAATGTTTAAATTTGATGGGATTTTTCAATATTGCAATAATTTTGAGGATTTTATTGGGCTTTTTCCAAGTATTTTATGCAATTTTTAGAGATTTCTTGGGATTTTGGGATTCTGGGATTTAGTAAGATTTTGGGATTTTTCCAAAGGTTTTTTTGGATTTTTTATGAAGTGTACTGAAGATTTTCAAAGTAATATACCCCTCGGAACAAAGAAGGTAAGTAAGTTTCTGTACCTTTTATCTCTTCTTGGTTAGGGACATTGATTTGCCTTGAATACGTTTGCAACTTGCCATTACAAAGCGACAGAATATATTTCCTGGGGGTGGGGGGGGGGTGTTTAGCGTGCAGTGTGTAATAAATATTGTACTTTTGTACCTATACCTTTATACATGGAGAGGAAATCACTTATTAAAATCACATAGATTTTGATTGACCATTGACAAATTATTAATTATTATTTATAATCAATATTTTATTATTTGTATTAACATTTTATTTTATTTATATTTAGAATAAAAAAATATCCCAGAAAAGTACAGTAGAAATTTTTGATCCTGCACTTCTAACCTATATGAGTAAAGTCGTCTGGCGTTAGATAGACAAAAATAACAAAATAGGCTGGTTTGACCTTAACAGGTTGAAGGGAGGCTCTCGTGCCTAATGGGTTCAGCACGTACAACTTACACATCAGTGGTAAGGGTGACCAATTAAGAGCCCCGAAAAGAAAAGTTTGTTGAGGTTTGAAGTATTGTTTTTTTCAACAGTGCTGTTCGCATACGATTCAGGAATACTAGTCCATTTGAGGAAATATTTCCCATTTCTATGCATTTTACAGGGCTCTTTGCTGAATTTATATTGACATTGTGAGGATGTCCACTTGCCCATTGCAGGCTCAATGTCCGATATAGTTGGCGATGATGAATAATGCTTAAAATTACGCTAAAATGACACGCCACTCAAGTCACTTGTCTACAAAAGTGTTGCAAGATGTTTCCTACACGCAACGCACAGTTTTAGAAAGAAGAAAAAGGAAAACGTCTAATAATTCGACGATGTCTCATTATCCGCCATACGTAGTGGTACTTAGTTTCATCTTCTTATGTATCGGTGTGTTAGGAAATGTTGCAGTTATTATTTATAACATTTTTCTCAACCACGACAAGACTCCGAGCAGCTGGTTGGTTACACACCTTGCTTTGGCTGATCTTCTCGTTTGTTTCATAGTTTATCCAAACAGAATTGTTGATGCAGGAGCGAAAGAAAAGAACCCAGTGTTTGGCAGGATAAAGCTTACGACAATTCATGTTTCCTTGTTCCTTTCCATAATGATTCTACTGTCCATCACAATTGATAAATATCTGTATATAGCGAAGCCACTGAAGTATCCACTGATCGTGAGAACACGAAGAACTAAGATAGTCCTCAGTTGTATCTGGTTAGCTGCGTTGGTTCAGTTCCCACTCATATATATTTACATGCACAACATGACCAGCCAAAAATATAAGGGAGAAAAAGAATGTTATAATCCACGACTCGTTGTATGGTTGCAGGTTATCCTACAGTTAACCGCCATTTGTGTCATGACAATCCTAAATTACAAAATGTTCAAGATCGTCAAAGATCAAAGAGAAAGAATGGCATCAGAATTCGTGTTACAGCCTCGACAGTCAGAACAAGTACAGTCGGAACATGTACAGTTTGAGCAAAACATGACTTGGGTACGTCATCTAGCAAAGGAATTGAAATCTATGAAGACATTCGGCATTATCGTCGGAGTTTTGACATGTTGTTTTGTTCCATATATTATCGCGAACGTGGTTTGTACGTCTGACCATGAGTTATGCCTCTCACCCCCTAGATACCTGATCATTCTCCAGCTGGTTGGTATAAACTCGATTGCAAATGCATTCATATATGCATTGAGACATAAAAAATACATAAGAGCTTATAGGAAACTCTTTTCTTCTGCCTGGGCACGGCTCTTTCTACAAAATAACTGACCTATTGATCGATTAGATAGATATAACTATTTTACTCCAAAACGCATTTTAGGGTAAAAACCAGGGCGCTTATATATATATGCGCCCTGGTAAAAACTAATCATCGAGCAACGGGAAACCAACTACCTAAATAACTAAGTTGAAGTACAGTATCTTAGTATATGTAAACATTTTGCAAATCATTTCTTGAGCAAGGATATCGCGGTTATTTCTTGAGCATGTTTGTTGAATACCTCTCTCAGTTCATTGCACTGAGGAAAAACCACGAAAACAAACAATCATGCCATTAAACATGCCAATTTGATCAAGGAATACTGTAAAATGCAAGGAAATTGCATGATTCTCAAGAAAACCCCCAGAAACTATTAAGTATACCTCAGTTTTGACGGTGAACGATGAAAGTGAAAAAGAATATAAACATAAGAAGATCAATATCTATTAAAAGAAAATACATTAAGGCGAGCGAACAACGAAGAAAATAATGCGGAAGATTCCCAAGATGACGCTGAAAAGACCAAAAACGTAGCATACACTGCGGCATATATCTTTCATCGATCGTTTTATTTTACTTAAAAAAAACTTAATCCATATATGTCAGTCCATTAAAATTAGTTGTATCACTAGAAATCCCTATATAGTGTTTAAAAATTCAGGTCTGAAACGGTGTATTATATTTATAACAGATGTGCAAAGTGTTAGACAATAAGACTATAATTATATGCATTGCAAGTGGCTTATATATTTAGATGGCTGCGATATGAAGGATATACATCTATACCTGAAAAATACAAGCAGAACTTGAACATTTTGAGCGAAGGACCTTCGTCGGGAGGTTAGAAGTTATAAGTATATATTTTTGTATGCTTATCAATACATATATTTTCGGTATAGTTGCATATCCTTCCAAACCGCAGCTGTTTTATCATCATCTTTAACTACACGGCAAAAAAACGACCAGGTTGCAATATTGATGAAAACAGGATTGAACAATGCTTTGCTGCCCACATTGTTCACAGTAAAGCCTGGTTCACATATATGCCTGCGACGTACCGGCGACGATGCCGGTGGTAGCTTAAAACGTAAATTATGTGAATATTTGTTCGCCGATTGCCTCCAGTACCACAGTTACATCGGCGGTAGGCCGGGAAAGTTGACTTGAGTTCAACTTTGCCAGTATTTCGGCGGCAAGTAGAGGCATAATGATACAGTCGCAGGCATACCGCAGGCATATGTGAACCAGGCTTAAGTTGTCAACAATATTGAACAATATTGTTACACCCGATTCAGGCTCAACAATATTGAGTGTCCCTATATGTCGTGTGTCGTGTGTCGTGGGTTAAAAGTCGTGTGTCGTGGGTAAAGTCGTGGGTAAAGTCGTGGGTAAAGTCGTGGGTAAAGTCGTGGGTAAAGTCGTGGGTCATAAAATGTGCTAAAAACGCATTTTTTCACGAAGATATTATTTTTATTTTTACTATTTTTTTCGTACTTTTTCCATTTATGCACTAGATAAGTACAGGAAAATTTAACTCAACAAATCTTCAGTAATAAAATAATTTCTTATCTTGCTGTTATCTATAGTATAACCTGTTATAACCACAAGTAAATGTTTGATTATGTTTCCGTTTCGTATAGTCTAATAAGCCTATAGAGTATAAATGTATTGTTTGATGTATAAATGTATTGTTTAAGTTATAGGATATAGGTTTATTAGCTTTGGAAGTGTTATAGCCCCTATCATGAACGTCGCGAATAATTATGTCGATTGCATATGTCTGATACAAACATATTGAGCTATAAATTTTACGCTGCAGTGCCTAGTAGCCTATAATTAGTGGCCAACGCTCGAGCCTCAAATTTTGCTATTTTATCTCCTAGACCTAGCCATATGTTCGTGGCCCTTAAAGGTAGACCGAAACATTTCATGTGTATGTGGCGTTCGGAAATATGCCATAAGTTGCTACGATTTGGGTTTTCCCGATTGAAAACTGAAATGATTTGTGCGATGTCGGGCTAATTGCCACTGAACTGAGCGCGCTAGCCGCTGTTATTTCGACAGAATATGATACCTCTACACTTTTCAGCCGTAATTTTCAGCGCGCATTGTAACTATACATATCGTTTAATTTAGCTTCAAAAACGTGATAAAAAACATGTTATTTGTGTTTGTTCCCGCGGAGCGCCTGAATGGTGTCATATAGTTGCCAGAGGCAGAGCACATGCAAAGCCGCCTCGGTATAAATCATGTATGTAACGGGAAATCTTGCTTATTTCAGTCTAATAAAGTCAACCTTTTTTCTTTGATATTAATGTACGCAACATGCTGCGCATTTTACATTTAACAAAATAAGTTTTTGAAGCTAAATTTAGGCTAACGATATGAATATGATTACAATCCGCGCATTATGTATTACGCATGAAAAGTGTAGAGGTATCATATTTTGTCAAAATAACAGCGGCTAGTGCGCTCGGTTGGCAAATAGCCCGGCATGGCGACATCGCACAAATCAATATCATTTCGGTTTTCAATCGCGAAATCCCAAATCGTAGCAATTTATGGAATATTTCCAAACGCCACATACTCTTACTCTTCCAATTTATGGATTATTTCCGAACGCCACATACCCTAAGAACAGCATTCAAACATGAAATGTTTGTCTACCGTTTTAAGGGCCACGAACATATACTAGGTCTAGGAGATAAAATAGCAAAATTTGAGGCTCTAGCGTTGGTCACTTTATAGCTCAATATGTTTGCATCAGACAGTATGCAATCGACATAGTTATTCGCGACGTTCATGATAGGGACTATAACACTTCCAAAGCTAATAAACCTATATCTTAATATCCTATAACTTAGGACATTTTATCATCAAACAATACATTTATATACTTATTAGACTATACGAAACGGAAACATTTACTTGTTATACTATAGATAACAGCAAGATAAGAAATTATTTTATTACTGGAGATTTGTTGCGTTAAATTTTCCTGTATTTATCTAGCGCATAAAAGGAAAAAGTACGAAAAAAATATTAAAAATAAAAATATGAAAAAATGCGTTTTTAGCACATTTTATGACCCACGACTTTACCCACGACTTTACCCACGACACACGACTTTTAACCCACGACACACGACACACGACATATAGGGACACTCAACAATATTGTGCAATATTGTCGACAAGTGTGAACAACGTGGGCAGCAAAATATTGTTCAATCCTATTAAGCAGCGGGCTCGGCGTTTTTTGCCGTGCCACTGCATGGCATGTCTTTATACTGAACCGGGAACTGTAGTTTATGGCCACGAACTGTAGCTAAGATCATATGCCGAAAGCAGGCGTATCATTGCCACAAACTGTGGCTATACAGGTATGTCGAAAACAGGTGTACTTTATAGCCAGGAATTGTGGCTGTAAAGTATGCCCAAAACAGGCGTACTGTAGCTAAGGTATGCCCAAAACAGGCGTACTTTATTGCGCCGAAAGCAGGCGTACTTTAAAAGCCATGAACTGTGCATGGCTAAGGTTTGCCCAAAACAGGCGTACTTTATAGCCACAATCTGTTAGGCTAAGGTATGCCGAAAACAGGCGTACTTTATGGCCATCCAATAAAGTAACCCAATACTCCTTTGTGTACTGCGATTTTATTTACCTACGTGTATCTTCCATGAACTGCTATAGTTCATACCTCCAGATACAAGTGAGGTACTGCTCATGAAACTACTCCACCCATACGGCTCTCCAAACAAATGCTATAAAATGTGGACCATTAGATACTCTGGGAGGCGGGTGCGGATCCCCCCCCCCCCAAAAAAAAAAGTCATGCAAAGGATGGAATTTGAAAAAAACAATATATGCAAGATATGTAGAGAAAGAACAAAATTTTGGCAACTACATTTTAATATACAGAGATATATAGAAAATAATTCATGCTCAGCTTCCACACCATAAAAAGTTCTACAAAACTCCGAACTTAAAAAAATCGTGCAAGGAAATTATCCATTCCCTCCCCCTCCATCCCCTTCTGCTCTCAGGATGTCTAGTGGTTCACCCCTTAGTTTGGGGTTATCCCAAACCATTCTGTCAACATTTTCTGTGGGAAAAAACAACAACGACTTTCGGTAGTAGAGCGCAGAGACGCCGGAACTGGGGGCAGGAGGGACAGTCGCCCCCGTTGCCCTTTACCAGGAGGGGCAAGGGGGGCTAAGGTGCCCTTTTAATTTAAAGGATTGCCTTGGCGAAATAGCGAATTGTCAGAAATGTTAGTGCAATTTTTTACGAATTTGCTTCAGAAAACGCAAGAAATGCAGTCATCGAGCTTCAAGAATAGCACGATCGCCTGTCAGAGAACCCCCTCACACCCCTATCATCCAATAAATAGAAAACATGATTAGGCGAAGTTCAACTCCCGATGTTTTGCAAACATCTCTTTGAATATCAATTGACCACTTGCGTAATAGACTAAATTTTTATCTCAACCAGTCTAGACAAAAATGTTTTCACAGCTTGAAAGAGCATCACAAAATTAGTAATATTCCAAAGTTTCGTTGCGAAATGTTGTAAAATGCGGATAATATAGCCTTGCGAAATTTGCAATTTTCAGTCATTTTGTATTACAAACGGGAAATTGATGCCCCAACACCTAGCCTGCGTGGCAGGCCCTCAGTTTTATGGGGGCCTGATTTGCAACGGGCAGGATTTTGCCCGCCAAATCAGGCCCCCCATAAAACTGAGGGCCTGCCACGCAGGCTACCCAACACCCGATTGGGCTGTCAATTTCCCGTGCGTAATACCATGACTGAAAAACGGCAAACTTCGCATGGCCATATTATCCGCATTTTACAACATTTTGCAACGAAACTTTGGAATATTACTAATTTTGTGATGCTCTTTCAAGCCGTGATGAAATTTTTGTGTAGATCAAAATTTAGTGTATAATGCAAATGGTCCATTTGATCAAGTCCGAGGCGAACCTGAGGACCAGTTCAAAATGCGAGGACTTGAAATCTAGTCTGAACTGAGGATTTGAAATGACATCTCATACGAATAAATGACACTCAAAGTGAGGTGAATTAATTTTGATCCAGTCCTAGGACTGGATCGGTATACTTCACAAGTTATCCAGTATTACCATGTGAGCAAAGTAATATGGTTGGCTAATTTACTCATGAATTATTAATGAGTTTGATATCATGTTCCAACCGCCTGAAGCTGCATTAAATTCATACACAATGATAATGTACAACATCTTTTTTTACCATCATTTATTTAAATGGGTTTGTTTTTGCCGTGCTGTTGGGCCTACATTCTAAGGTCTCTATATTGTATTTACAGGACGGGTACATGAATGGAGAGCAAGTCAACATGGCCAACGATGTATTAATGGAATTACTCGATGAAATAAGGTGCGTTTCTTAATTCCGGAACGAAATCATACCGGCAGAATTTGCGTTTGTTCATTTTACGCCGTTACAGTTTGTTTACAAATTGAATTAGCACTCGTGTAAACCCAAAATATTTCAAATAGAGCAAAGAAATTTCAACGAAAAGCATTCGAATTTACTGCTTTGAGATCTGAGATGCTTGGTTTGCAAGCGGTACAAAAAGGTAACGGCGTTTGTGTTTACAAGAAGCCGCCAAGCGCTCCGTTTTCATCTCGTTCCGTTTAGTAACCGTGCTTAAATTAGCTCAAATTGTGTGAACGCGACGGCTAATTTAATTCTGACTTTTCGGGCGCCCCCCCCCCACCTTCTATCCCCATGCATGCCTCTCTAATACGAATAGTTTTTATGTCCCGACAAAAATTCCATATTTGACTTAGGTCGACTGTACATATTTACAAACGCGGAGGTTAGCAAACGGACAAACGGACAACTAAGAAAGAACAAACAGACTAACACCAAAGAATATTTGCCCATTCGTTTGTTTGTTTGTATGTGATAATAGGCAATTCCAGCTTTTGGTTTATGCGTGCAGGGGGTGATGGGAAGTAAAGTATAATGTTGCCGACTATGCTGAAGAACTGTGCCCGTGTAAACACGGAGTGATAGCTTACATACTTGTAAATATTGAAATATTTCGGTTGTTTCGGCAGTTTTTATTGAAATATTTCAGCATAATCAGCAACATGATACTTTACTTCCCATCACCCCCTGCGCGCATAAGTTAAAAGCTGGAATTGCCCATTGAATATTCCAAATCCACTTTCAGGCCAAATGCTATTGGACTTGTAGATGCCTTCGATTACTCGGATTATTGCCTCAACTCTGTACTTGGTCGATATGATGGCAATGTCTATGAACATCTCATGAAATGGGCTGAAAAATTTCCACTGAATAAAAATGAGGTTAGTCGAGTAACCGGTGGGAATTTATTTGTAACAGGCATATGTATATATTATAGTATATACGTTTCTACGACCAGACCCCAGGGGTGGGGGGTGGGGAGGGGGTGACTACCTGGGAGAGGAATGCTGGGGAAGGGGGTACCCCTTAATAATTTTTAAAGCCTTTGTACAAAGCAATTTTAAACCATACTGTATGATTTTCATTCAGAAGATGTGCTCGACTTATCCGTTTTAAAATTCCAACAATTCTTATCGGGGGGGGATTGGAGTTGAAATATTTTTAAATTTTTTGAACCTCACATATTTCTTGCATTTTAGAATATTGTTTTGAATTCATTCTCCCCATTTTTTCCCCAACTTACGTTTACAATTTGCTCAGGTTCAACTACAGCTCCTCCAAACCCCCCTCCCCCACATGGGTCAAATTATGCTAAAATTCACGTGATTGAAATCCACGAACTGTACTTCATAATCATTCTTATATGTTGGGGAGCAGTCATTATTAATGACGTCGGGGGGGGGGCGGTGGAAGATATTTTGAAACTTTTGATAAATTTTTCGCGGTCCATGTCACGGTTAATAACAAATAAAAAAAAAATTCAGAACATTTATTTTGTTGTACATGAGGGAGCAGGTATGTGTATGTCATTTTGTTATGCTTAATAATGACTTGTTTTGAGATATGCCCTTAACAATACTTATAGTTACAGAAGTTAGTCTTTTTAGTCGTCCAAAGGCATTTAAAACACATGCCATGATACCGTGTTGCTTCTTAATTTTTAATGTCATGTCTGTTTGATACTGAAGTTCGTTTTACAAGCCAGTAAATTTCTGATTACACTTTAGGTTTTTGCTAGCCTACCCTTTCTTTCAGTTTGATGTTACTCTGAGTGTATATCCACACTGGGCAAGCTGAAAAGTTAGCTTGGCCACGGTGGGAATCGAACCCGCAACCTTTGGGATACTAGTTCAATGCTCTGCCAACTGAGTTACGTGGCCAAGCCGGTTTGTTCGAGTGCGTGGTATTTCGGAACTAAGTCTATACCTTCGATAACAATGTGTGCTATGATCATGATGTTTTTTGTGTGTGTTTTTGATGTATGTACTCAGGTGAGTATAATCTTTTTTTATGTTACTCTGAGTGTACATCCACACCGGGCAGGCTGAAAAGTTAGCCTGACCACGGTGGGAACCACGACCTTTGGGATACTAGTCCAACTCAGTTTCAGCCTGTCCGGTGTGGATATACACTCAGAGTAACATCAAAAAGATTATATTCACCTGAGTACATAACATCAAAAACGCACACACAAAAAATACCACTCTTTCTTGTCACGAATTTCTTTCCAGCAGCCCTTCATGGCCCTTCTGATATCTTCCGCCCCACCCCTCACTACTAGTAACAATGACTGTTCCCTTGGCAACCTGGATCTGTCTCGCCTAACATTTTGCGAGGTCCCCACCGCGTCCTACAAGAATCTAATTTCTCGCGCTTTCTTTTTACAGGTGATGCCAGCTTACGAGAAGTACTTACGGCCATTGCTGAAAGGAGAATTTGCTTCAAAGCTTTGAATTCCTCGATTGTCCAACAAGCTTCTGCACACAAGTGTTTTGAAAATTTGAATAAATTGGGGTCATGGCTGATTAAAGGTGATCTACAGTCCGATCTGCGCATGTGCACAAATGAGCCCACTTTTTATGATACAAACAGTTTAACTATGTTTTGAGTTCTTGAAAAGCCTGATTGTTGTTTCTTGATCGTTTATTATACTCTAGAAGCTTGAAAATATAAATAGTTGTCGAATAAAGCTCAATATTTTGGACACAAAAATGTAAACAAAGGCTTTGTTTACATACGGACTGTAGATCACCTTTAAAGTAATATGTTGCCAAAAATGCAAAACTGATTTCAAGTTTATTTTTACATAACAAAAATAAACTATACCATTAGAAAATTCGCAAAAAGTATATGTAAGACATGTAAGCGAGTATGACAACCCCGACTCGAAACCGACTAGTTGAAATTAAATTCGCACTGCTCGCTTTAAGTACTGTTTAATAAACGAGCAGGAGTGTTTTATATCTGATAAAAGAATATACAGAAGAATATACTAATTAGGATGAACAATTGTATAATCATACTAATTAGGATGAACAATTATATGAAGAATACCAATGAGGATGAGTTTTATCAGATATAAAGTCACTCCACGTGACATATTATGGCTGACATGATTTGCCACAAGGTTTATGAATTATTAATGAGTATTTTAATATCTTTTATTATATAAACATAAGTGTTATATAGACTTTTTGGCCACTGAGAAAAATCGTATTTAAACACACGTAAAAAATACGATATTTTTACGTGTGAAAATATCATTTGTTGTAAAACGCATTGTCACGGACGTTTTATTGTTTTTCACTGAATTTTGTTTATATAATAAACAGAAAAATACATGGGTGCGCGGAAATACCAGATTTATTTCTCGTGTTGAACATGATATCATGTTCAGCATTCGAAATAAATCTGGTATTCCCGCGCACCCATATGTATTATTCTCTCTATAATGAATTTCACAATTGTTGATTACTACTATATTATGTTAGTGAATTTTTAAAATAGATTTTTCATGTAAAGTTAGCTAGAATATATAATATCTGTTTATAAAACAATAATATTTGTTGACAAATAAGCCCACGTTTTAGAAGTCGCCCGTTGGACTTAATGTACATCAAATGTACATCAGATCGCTCGCCATTCTCTCGAAAAGTTTTGTTCTAGGACAACCATATCTGCAATTGATTAACTTACCTACCCGCGGTAGCAACCTCATTGACCTGGTTTTAACTACAAATGAACACTTGACCGACAACTTTGAAGTTACTGATGACGACTCCATCTCTCTACCCTCTGATCACAAAGCTATATTTTTCGACCTAAAACTCCATCAACAACCTAAACAATCCTCCGAACGTGTGGTCTATAATTATGCTAAGGGTGATTTCGTGGGCCTATTTAACAGTCTAAGGAACACTCCACTAGTTGATATAGTCCTCAACGAAAGTAACAACGTTAATCTTGCCTGGGCTAAGTGGAAGGAAGCTTTCCTTGTCGCAGTTGACCGTTTCATCCCCAAAACAAAGCTCAAGCGTTCTTTTACACCCCCATACATCACCAAGGACTTACTTCACGCTATTGAGATGAAAGAGTCACTAAGAAGACTGCTCTCTTTGAGTTATCTCTTCAGCAGGGTGTTTTTCCTTCTGAATGGAAAGCTGCTAATGTCGTGCCTATACCCAAAAAGGGTGACACTCATGAGGTCACTAACTACAGACCAGTTTCCTTACTCTCTCAAGTCTCAAAAGTTCTCGAACGTTTAATTTTCAGGCAGGTTTCTTCTTTTGTTGAAAACTCCTTGTACGACCTTCAACACGGCTTTCGTTGTCAAAGGTCGTGTGTTACTCAACTTTTGAGTGTACTTCACGACCTTGGTCGTACTCTTGACTCTGGAAAGGAAACAGACCTGATTTATCTCGACTTTGCTGAAGCGTTTGACTCGGTGTCCCATAGCAAACTTTTGTTCAAACTCAAATCGTTTGGAATCTCAGGTCCACTTCTTAACTGGTTTGCTGATTACCTTCGTGATCGCAAACAGTGTGTTGTCGTTGAAGGAGCTTCCTCATCTTTTCTTAATGTTCCCTCTGGGGTGCCACAAGGTAGTGTAATAGGTCCACTTTTATTCATTCTTTATGTAAATGACCTTCCCGAGGTAACCAATAATAGTACCGTTGCACTTTTTGCTGATGACAGCAAGTGTTATCGTGCTATACGATCACCAGTTGATCGTGGTCTCCTTCAGCTCGACCTGGACGCTATGTCCAACTGGTCACTTAACTGGAAAATGAAATTTAATGTCTCGAAGACGCTCCTACTTAGGATATCCCGCAAACGTAACCCTCCAACTCATTGCTACTTTCTTAACAACGATCCAGTTAAGAGCATAGCTAACCAAGTAGACTTGGGTGTTGTTATCAGCAATGACCTAAAGGGGTCCCCTCACATCGCCAGCTGCACTG